AGTGGGGCCGTTCCCTTACACAACCGCTGCGTGCGAAACGGCACAAGCTGCCAGTACGACGCGGATGTTGGCGAATCCCGTGCCGCGGCGCTCAAGAAGAAATACAGTGCGCTGGAGAAGGAAGCCGGGCAGCTGAGGAAGGGCGTTCACCAGCTGCAACGCCTTTACGGATACATCTGCGCGTCGTCCGAGGACGAGGCATACAAGGTGTTCCAACACATTCGGGCCGGTGACAACCACAATCCCATCGACGCGCTGCGACTGTTCGACCGAAATGACGTCCTCGCCCTGGAGTGCACCGAGTCCCCCGCCTCAACCGACATGTCTGATGACACGCGTGTTGAGTCGGCGAGCAATGCCCTCTTTGAGGTCCGCGCTCTGCCGTGGTCCGTCGTCGCAAGTGACGAAGTCGTATCGGAGCTCATCTCGCAGTACTTCATGTTCGACTATTTATATGTTTTCCCCCCAATACCACGTGTCACATTTCTCGACGAGATGAAACTGGGAGACGTGGCCGCTGCCACATCCTGCTCGCCACTGCTGGTCAACGCCATCTGTGCGCAACAGTGTGTAAGTTGTTGTCAAAGCACCGCCACTGCCCGCTTCAACTTGCACTAGACTGAGTCGTCTTCTAGTTCCTCTCCCCTAAGCAATATCTAGATACCACGGTACGTGAGGTTCTGGCAGAAAGATTCTTGCACGAGGCAAACAGGTTACTCCAAAGCGAGGGGGGGCGACTGTCCCTCCCAGACGCCCAAGCCATCTGTCTGATATATGCTGCCGTGGCCGCAAGAGATCAAGTCAGGTCTGGCGTTATTTCCCATGCGGATGAGCCGTAAAGGCGGGCCGAGTATGAAAAAAGAATTGGGCGCGGAAGAGCAAAGGGGTTTGGTAAAAGGGGCGTTTTTAAGCGTGAATTCGGCGTAGCTTATTTTATGACGACTACTGGCTGGGACTGAAAGACACTGTCTTTCGTTCATAATGCTTGCATTTTCTTAGAGAGACCTCATGAAGCATTCGAGGGAGGCGCTCGTCATTTATGCCAGCCTTTGTGGTTCTGTTCCCATGCTGGTCTCCCAGTGGCGCCCGGTTTGCTGGCAGGCTTTGGGGATTGGTTATACGGAGCAACTTCTCCATAATACAAAATTTCGAAAACAGTTTAGTCATGATAGTTGTGATTATCATCTTTCAAGATAGCATGCGATCGAATCTCGAGACGTTTTGTCTTCTGCTATTGCTTAGCCCAACCTCACAGCACATTTCGCCGCCACATCCGTCTCGGCACCTAATACTTTCTGAACCAAAATGCAAATATCAATCTCGGGCATCTGGCAGCCCGTGTACCCACAAGGTGTCGAATCATGCTCGGATATTTTATCTCTCGGGGCTGGCATAGCAAGATGCCGCCTGTGTCGGTGCTGCTGAACACAGACCGACCAATGTTGCAGAGACCTTTTGCCGATCCGCGCTCCGGTCGGGCTGCGTATTTCTTTGGCTAGACTTGAGCCCATGTCAGAATGACGACAGGCTGGGACGCTGCCGGAGAGACTTCCGTTGACACAGCTGCAATGCAGGGACCGTTTTGAAGATTACGGACCAATAAGTGATCCATATCCAGCTTACCGGAGGAACTTCCGATGTGGGCTTTTGACACAAGACCGTTTTGAGCCTGAAACTTGTATAAGCTGGGTCGACAGTTCTCGGGGGGCAGTTTGTCCATTTACGCGCGCATCAGTGAATATAAATGGCATTGAGAGCACAACCGTTCGGTACGTGTCGTGATAGCACGGCATCTGTCCACTGATCTCACCCGTCATCAACCACTTGATCCACTTGGGAGCATGATGCGGTGAAAGTAATGCATTCATGCTGCTGTTGCCAAACAGTCGTGGTGACCGTATTGATGACGGGTGCGTTCAACCAGGTCGTCAAGTCACTCATTCGAGCGATCCAGTAATAGCGGTCCTCGGATAGGTATTCCCATGTGTCAAATCTTGAATTTGGACACTTTTGGGATTTCGGCTCATGAAGGCTGACCTACCAAGAGTGATGCCCATTTCCAGCTTCTAGGCTGATGGCTAAGGCATCAACACTCTGATAGGTGAGAATGCCAATGGGCTGATGAGTAGAGAACCTTGTCGTGTGTCCATCTTTCTTCAAAAGTTTACATACACGTTCTAGCCTTGTCGCTATTCAGGCATCGACTGTGTATCGTGGTATCATGCACGGCTGACAACATGTATACTCCACTTTAGCCACTCTCACAACAAAGCTAAATATAGAAGAGGCGCATGCCATACATACCCTGAAGAACTTCTCTGTGAAGTTGATTGAAATTTTCATGGCTTGTCAGCGAATAAAGCCGCCTCTTAGGAGCTCAAGGTCTCCCATGATTCTTAAGAGAAGCAATGGTAAACAAGATTCTTGAATAATTGGTGCGTAGTTATGGACTGCGGCTGTTAAGTTTGCTAATGTCCCACGAGTGCTTCCCGGTCAAACCTCGGTGATGACGATGAGGCAAAGAAGGGCTGCCATGACTTGTGCATTATTATGTCGAGTCACCAGTGATTAGCTCCAAAGCGTATCTAGACAGACTTGATGTCGAACACTATTCCGCGTCTAAAAAATTCAGAATCATACTTGAAGAAAAAAGACCTTTGTATTATGTGAATTGCTGTGATTCCGAACGTTAAACGCTGGTATTTTTAATAGAAGCGACATTGAGCACCACGAGATACTTTTGTCGCGGGTAGCCCGGGCTGTATTCTTCCCCCGAGTCTGAGCTTAACTCCCAAACCTGGAATTAACCCAGTCATGTGGTAGAGATTCTTCCACTATGCTCTGCGCATGGAGCCACTACTGTCATCGACGCCAACAGTTGCTACGGGCCAGGACATGAGAACCGCTGCTAGCAATAAACCTGCCCTTATACTACTCTTAGCTATGGAGCCTGCGATATCATCTAAGAACACTTGACTTTTAATTTCATTGAACTCTGCTGACATGGAAACAGTCACTAGAATGAGGTTAAGCTCCTGTCCTACTGTCTCTAGCAGGGACCAACATCTCAACGCGCATAGTTGTGAACCTAAACCAAAAATTTGGCAAATGTGACAAAGAACGTACCACGATATGGCAAAGCCCTAGACTTATAGCAAAGCTCTTCGTACGACGCGGCCGAACGCGTAAACGGGATGGTTCGACGAGAGGCATGACATACCGACGGCAATGTGCCAGGAGACTGGGCTGGTTGTGAGCGGTGGCTTTGGAAGATCAAAATTCTTTTTAACTTACAATGGTGAAGAGTCTTGGAATGAGATACGGGGAAAACTAATGCTGAAATGGCATTCCTCTCGGCGGTAAGTATAATGTCTGATGAAGCACTTGGTAACGGCCAGAACGAGAACGATGACGGAGTTGCAGCGATGCTCAAACTGCCAGATATACTACGAAGAACTCCTTTGTGAAGAAAATAAGATAGAATGTTTACTCAGTCATCTATTTGAGGTCGCCCCAGGAGCATAGTCCAAGCATGAGAGTTATTTATGCGAAATCTATAGCCTCGATCCAGTAGTCACTCAAGCTCTGTTTGGTGGACAAAGGGTTACAGCCAAACCAGTGTTATTTGATGCAATGAAATGCTGGAGTCGGGTCTTTTAATCGCCCGACCAACCCTGAATACCAGTGCCGCCCTGGATATCAAATACAGAATTACCAAGTATACATGCAAATAAAAGAACTTGATAAAATCGACTTGGTTAATTTAGGAAGTACCACTGTTTTCTCAATACTTCAGGTCCTTCGATTATTAGATAACTGGTTTTGATGAAACCGTACCCAAAATTTTGGCTTCTCCCACGTCGCGTACAGCCTAGAGTTTCTTTTAAAATCAAAGTCCTGATTGGATATCATCTCAATATCAAAGCTCCAGAGCACCTTGCCAGAAAGAGTCTTATCTGGCGAATATATCTCTCATATCTTTGACCAAGATTTCCATGGTTTTGGGCTCAAGCAACAAGAACAACTGGCTCACGAGGATTTCAAGGTCTAACCTCTCTCGCTCGGAAGGCCTGGGCATTAGTAGGCACCGCGACATCTGGAGCGTGGCTGTGCAGAGCGTGACATGATAGTTTGTCATGACCACTTCGGTCTTGCAATCCGTAATGTTGTGGCTGATGCGGGCATGTCCAAACAAGTGCATTGCTGTAGGTTTCCCAAAATGACTATTCCGCAAACTATGATCTCAGAGTCTTGCCGCGCAATACCACTTTCGTCAAGCTTCGGGAGACAATCTCCGGTTCAATGCAGCCGATGCAAATATAAAAATATGACCCACGACCTTTTGTCGTCATGATGAGTAGCGGTGACATCAATGTTGGAGCAACTCCATAACTTCTCGCCACTCAGCACTCAACACCCCAGAGGAGAAAAAGAAATCAAGGACATCTATACGGAAAGGATTCAGCAGGGTGTTGTCATGTAGCATTCATGGCATACGTATGACACTTGCTACTTGCCTCGATTCGCTTGTCTCTTCAGGTAAGCACACGGCCGCAACGGAATAAATAGGCTGAGTCCCGACGAGCATGCCACCTATTTTCCGACGCACAGCGATATTACTTGCACCAAGTATCAAATCGAGGACTTTCCGCTTTGCTCTTGCCATAAAATCAAGACCTCACAACGCCCCTTTCAGAATGGCAAGCACAGATGCCTTGACAAGCAACTCGCTTTTCAAACTTCAGGGTCGAGTAGCCCTCGTCACAGGTCAGCCAAATACTGTCCCCAGTCCGCAACAACGACCCGTCTCCAACATAAAGATTTCATCATAGGTGGCGGCTCGGGCATCGGGCTCATGGCCGCACAAGCTCTTGCCGCAAACGGCGCCAAGGTCTACATCACAGGCCGGACAAAGGAGAAGCTCGACACTGCCAAGTCGCAGCATTTCGGCGATGACAATAGCAATCTTATCACGATCCAAGCCGACGTGTCCTCCAAGGAGAGCATACAATCCCTCGTTAAAGAGATAGAGTCGCGTGAGAAATGCCTGTGCGTCCTTGTCAACAACGCCGGCATTGCGGCGGACCACCACCAGACGGCCGAGGCCAGGTCGGCGTCGGAACTGCGAGACTCGCTGTTTCATCAGTCCGACTTTGACAACTGGATTGGCGTATACAAAACAAACGTGGCTGCCGTCTACTTCACCACGGCGGCGTTTTTGCCATTACTGCAGGCGTCCAGCGAGAGACACGCTGGCTGGTCGGGCACCGTCATTAACATCACGTCGATTTCTGGTCTGGTCAAGACGTCGCAGCACCACTTCAGCTACAATGCGTCCAAGGCAGCAGCGAACCACGTCACTCGCATGTTGGCCGCAGAGATTGGGGCTGCAGGGCTGAAGATCCGCGTCAATGGCATCGCGCCGGGCGTCTTCCCCAGCGAAATGACGGCCGGAGAGAGCGACGAGGCTCAGAAAAGCCAACTGCCGAAAGACAAGTATCAAGGTAAAATACCGGCGGCTAGGCCCGGCAAAGACGAGGACATGGCATCGACCGTCTTGTTCATGGCCGCCAACCAGTATGTCAACGGACACATTGTTGTGGTTGATGGCGGGTACACGCTCTCAGCGGGCATGTAACTATTATTCGGACGGGGCGGGAGAAACAGAAACTGAATGATGCCATCTTGGAGCAATAGAAGATGAGGAATTGTGCTCCTAGAATGAGATGAGGGTGAACATTGAAGGGTTCAATTGTTTTGAGCTACGAATCGTGACTCGGGTGCATGTGTCTGGTTTAAGTTTAGTTTAGTCCCTGATTGGCAAGTTGCACCAGCTTCACCAACCAAACATGAACTGTGGATCAAGTCTGATCAGCCTTGTGACATATTCCATGCTGATTTGCTAGTATCGGGGCAGCCGGGGCGCCTCAGAACTTTGCAACTCCAAGCGCATCTTGCCTCCACCAGACATCCCTGGAAGCATCCAGATGGCATCCCAGCCGGCACATGCGCCTAGTTGAATATGTATCCCCTTCCATCAAGCTGGATGCAAGATGACATACAGATTGGGAGTTGCCTTGGCTCTCGACTGACGAGCTACCCACCCACCTCTTCTCTCTCGGAAGTTCGAACCCGATAAACTTCCTGTTAGGATTTGCCCTTGCATTTCGACCGAGGCTTGGCCTCCCCGCGGCCACGCCCTGTGAAAATGGCCCAGACGGAGAATGAGGACGACGAGCACTCTGGGACGGAAACCACAAACTTCACCTTTGTCACTAGCCAGGGCCAACATGGCGTCCGCAGTCATGCCATGCGCGAATACTGGAAACAGCGGCGGCGCAAGCTGAGCGAAAAGAAGGCCAACGAGGCAGGACACAAGCCATACCTACCTATCCGGCCGCGGAAGAAAAACTCTGGCCACGTTGCTGGCGCTTCTCCATCACGGTCGCAGTCGCAGTCGCAGTCGCGGTCGCGGTCGCAGTCGTCCTCTGCCTCGCCTGGCCATTCCAGCCCGCCATCAAGAACGAAGCGCAGCCCTTCAGGCCGGCCGTCCAAGGCGAAGCAACCGTCCGTGGCCCTCGGCAGCATTCAGTCTCAGGCTCTATCTGGAATGAATCGTGCCCTGGGGTCCAGTCGGTTGGATCCGTTTGACAAGTTTCCTGTCAAATTAACAGCCCAGCATCACCGGCTCCTTCACCATTGTAAGTGTGCTAGTTGGTCTATCATTGCTGGTTTTCTCCCGTGATTTCTGACCCAACTTCTGCATCTTAGGGCTGAGCAAGTATGCTACCATGATGTTTAATGACCTGCCGCGAAGTTTCAACCCAATGCGCGACGTCTGGCTACCCCTAGACTTGTCCAACGCAGCATCGTTTAATGCCGTAATGGCCCATTCAGCTGCTCATCTTGCTCGAATGCAAGGATTCCGAACCTCTGCAGAGGCATTGAAGTTCAAGGCAGAGGCGATGAGAATCGTCTCCGTCTGGATGAAGGACAAGCACCTCGCTCTGAGCGACGAGGTCTTTGCGGCCGTGCTGCGGCTCCTGACGTACGAGGTTAGCAGCATCCAGCAGACGATTGAGCATCGCAGAGCAGTATCTGACACACTCCTTTGAAAATAGCGATATTGGGGCACTGAAGCAGAGTGGAGGATCCACCGCGACGGATTGCAGCGCATGATCGCCGCCCGAGGCGGACTTGCGGCTCTACAGAGCAACTGGCGACTGGGATTGGTTGCTTCGCTGTTGGTTCCTGCTTTTGTTTCCCGCTTGAATCTTGCATTCAAGAGTGCTAACTGCCGTCTGTAGTATAAGTCTCATGGCCAAGCCATCGTGGTTTGACACCTCTAACCAAATCAAGGAGATCTGGAACCCGTCGTTGTCGGCTGCACTACAGCCTATTTTGAACGACAGCACTAGTCTTCATCGTATTCGGTGCTTGTGGCTTCTATCCTTCGTTCAAGATATAGGCAACTTTATGAGCAGTCCGTCGAACAAGAATGGCTTGACCAACAGAACCTGCATACAGAACGCAGTCGCCCTGATCCAAACGGATATGCGGCAACACGAGTCCAAAAATTCCCGTTTCGAAGACTGCCAAGAGGGAGAGTACAGACGCCTGGCTTGTCTTTTCTTCATCTCTGTCATATTGCAAGCCTCCATGAGCAGGGACACGGATACAAACACCAGCCAAAGGTCTAGCGAACCTGAGCTCATGCACTCGGACGACGTGGCCTCGTTGGAGAAGCATCTTGACGAATATAGAGACTTTTGGCACAATTCGACACAACGCCTTTACACTTGTTTGTTCCAAACGTTTGCTGTGCAGTCAGCTAGAGCCTCCAAAACAGACTACGCCCTAAACATGGCTAATGTTCTTGGGTCAATGAGCAGTGAGGCTCGGCATGGGGTGGAGAGGACTCTAATTCATTTATTGTGCCAGGATTCGACCGACTCGAGAGAAATCTATGAGCCTGAATGGACACCGGATACTTTATTATCAACCCTTCACGGCGCTTGATCAAGCGAAACGCGCTAGGTAATGAAATGAAATAGATATTCTATGTACATGTGGCCCCGACGCATAACACTACTTGGCTCCGTCCGACATTCAATCACCCAAGCTTCTCCAGGATAGACGTGGGCGGTGCGTAGAACGTCGTGCCTGTTAGAGGCGTCGAAAAATCCAAGATGCGGTCGTGCTTGCCCGGCGGGTTACCGATAAACATGCGCTCCATCATCTTTTCAATCACCCATAGTTTCTTGGAATACCCAATGAAATAGGTTCCAAACTCCTTGTGCCCCGGCGACCCAAAGGGCATGTTGTCTCGCAGAATGTCATGCTCGTCGCCGTCCTCGTCTTGGATGGTCGCCAACGTCTTGTGAGATTGTTGCTGCCCTTGTTGAGCGTCGTCGAGCTCCATGTTGTCCAGCTTGGTTCGGCCAATGACGGCCTCTTGCTGCTCAGTGGACAATCCGCGCCAGCCATCTATATCGTGGACGTATTTTTGCACCACGATATAACTTCCGCCCACGGCAGCCGCGTCGTCTGCCTCGGCAATACAGACGGCGTCTGCCACGTCCGATCCGACAGGATTGGCGGTGCCGTCGACGAATCCCAAGAGATCGCGGGCGTCAAAGTAGCGGAAACCGGTGGTCTCGTCCTCCACCTTGACGGAGCCGCCCAGCTTCATGAGCAGCTGGTTCTCGAATTCGAAGCTAACGTCTCTCCTCTCGGCGCGTATGTGGAACAAGAGGTCGCCGGGCGTCGAGACGGCTGTGTGCTTGGCTCCGCGGACCTCTGGGAAGGCGTGCAGCTCCTTGGGCTTGGGGATGCCGGTGAGTCGGTCCCAGACCGAGCTCCCGATGCCAACTACGCAGCTTAGATTGGAGCTGGGATGGCGGATGGACACGTTTTTAGCAATGTCGGCCACGGAGGAAAGTGCGGCGCGGATCGTGGCGATGGCATCCGGCGACTCGGTGGCCGAAACGACCAGGAACGTCGCCGACTGTGTGAGCGGGCTTGCCACGGGCTGGGAACTCATTGTTGATTTGGACGAGGTGTAGCGGGCGAGGGCTGGGCCTGCTTGTCTGGCTTGGAGAGCGAGTGTGATGCGGGTCGAGGTGACGATCAAAGAGGGCATTGATGGCATACTACTCAAACACCTGGCTCGATGGCAAAGACTCAAGTCAAGACTCGAGAGCATGAGTTGCCCGCGGTGCGCCGAGTCTGGACCGCCTTTGACTCGGGCTAGAACTGTTGACAGTGGGTTGAGCGAAATGACATCAGAACCCCGCCTCCTCTCGGACCTCTTCCGCGCCTCATGGCCAGAGCTTGATTCATGTCCAATCTGGCATCTTGCATCTTGGAGGCTTCGATTGCTCCAGCCAGTTTTTCCCACTGGCCGGCAACTTTTGGCCGGGGCCCCGTCTGCTGCCCGATCCGGGAAGAGTATTGAGCCAATGAGAATGGCCGCAATTCCAATCGCGTTGCGGGCACCAAGCACGTTCATGCTAGTACTACTACTACATTAAAAGCGTTAATATTATCCCCGGTTTATTACTAATATAGCAGAAAAGTATTAGAATAAAGCAGTGTACCAGCGCTTTACTAATTATAAACTAGTTTCCTATTATATAAATACTATAAATATTAAGTATATTAGAGATTTTTTTAGTAAAAATAAAGGGTATAATTATATTAAAAGCTAGGGTTAGTATATATATAGTAAGGAGATGTGTAGTCTTCTCGTGTTGGCCTCTTGGTACTTGACACAAACAGCACGGCCGCGATGATCCACCCAGATCGCGAAATTCTCAAGTTAGGTAAGAATAACAATTTAAAGGCCCTCTAAGCCAATTAGAAGTCAAGTTGCAACTACACAAGGCTGGTGATTGGTGGCGTAGCATTCGTGGACTTCATTAAAGAAGCGAACCTGGAAGGCTTATGAGCGCTTTCTGTTGAAGGTGCTTTGCTTAACAAATAGGTCTCTTAGGGGCATGTAGCATGAGAAATGGAAGGTAACATGTTATTTGATGGAATACTCTTCTCTTTTCAAGCCTCAAATGTCGAAGCACATAGAGACGGTGGCTGAGGTGCAGGGTAGCATTCCCGCATGCAAATGCTCCATAGTATAGCCTCAGGTGCATATCTATTAAATTTCAATTTGAGATGAAGTCTAGTAGATGCCACTATAAACATGTGCACGTATATATGAAAGAGAAATCTCTTGAACTAAACCAGTCAACGCCGACCTATGCAGTGCCCCAAACCTCATCAACGTCAACGCCAGCGCTCTGAAATACGAGCACTTTAATTTCTTTTGCGTTCCTCAGATGTTTGAAGGAATCAGACAAGACCTAAATAAATTTCCTACATGACCTGGCACCTTTAGAATGACGCATCACTAGCCCCGTTAACAAGCAATTCCTTCTTCGGGGCCGTCTTAGATATCTCGCTAAAACATCCAGCGCTGGCCGCTACGAATCCCAACAAGGCAGGCGAGGGGCTGAGGACTTTGCTAGTGAACTCGGGGTGTGCTTGCAGACTAGTCAACAGCGTTAGTAATCTTCGGTAAAAACCAGTTATATCCACGACATTGTCTAGCTTGCGTTGCTTACCCGACAAAGAAAGGGTGAT